GAGTGTGTGGTGTGGTGTGCTGGGTGGAGTGTGTGTGGGTGTGATGTGGTTGTGCTTGTTGCGATGGCTTGATTGGTGGATGCGAATGTATATCATGAGTGCTAGTATTGTGTGCATAAGTATGATCTAGTCGATGTGTGTGCTTGGTGCGTGTGGCTGTAGTGGTGATTTGATAGGTGTCAGAGTAGAGCTGAGATAAAGTTGACACCCGTACACTACAGATGTATTGTTGCGCATGTAGCTTTAGATTTGAGGCAGGGTTGGCTGGGAGACAATTTATTGCGGAGGCGTGGTTGTGGTGGAGATAGAGAGTGTGATCGTGACCGGAATCCTAATAAGCATACCTCTTTTACTGCCTCACGTGCCAAAGGCCCTTTTTCTCACCCCAATCACCATCCCACTTTTCCAGGATTCCAATTAGAATATTAAGTATTTAATAAAACAATTCGTTGCACTCGAAGTGGCATGGAGCTAGGCTGTGCCCACTGATGGAATGCGCCCTAGCCCGACACCTCTTAACAACATTCAATGGCACATACGGAATCTTGCCACAACATAGGCTCATACAACCACAAGGAGAACAGAGTTAAGTGAGCAATTGAGCCAATCAAAAAATAGGTGAGCCAACACCGCCGAGACCGATTTTAAGATTAGACTGTTTTGACTGCCCCCGTTCTGGTGGATTTAAGGCCACCAAGTCCACTGAACACTCGAGAGGTTCGCAAAAGTAATGTGAGAGAATATTAACAAAACACACCAAGATGTTTAAGTGGATGACTGGTTCAATCAGTTGTGTCAGAGACGACCGCCATGAAACCCGATCTAAGCCCACTATCGGAAAGGATGGTGAGCAATGTACACAAACTACAGATCAAAAAGAGGTGCTATTCCTCAGTCCAAATAACAGTTCCTAGAAGATAATAACTAGTGCAATACTATGGATCATTTTGCATGTTGATTTATTTGAAATTTCAAAACTGGAAGATTTTAACATGTTTTGCGCAGAGATTTGTGATGTCTAGTGTAATGCTAGGTCTTTCCCTCTCTCAAAAATAACGGGTGTGTTTGTCGTTAGTAGAATGGTTTAATCGATATCCCCCTGATAACGTCATCAGTATTTAAGTCGCCCAATTTAAAAGATGATCCAGGTGTAGCTGAGTATGCCCTAGCAGTCACCTGTCCTATATCATCGGGTTTGATAGCTAATTTTCTTGTGCCAAAAGCTGGGCCCACTCTTCTGGCTCTCGCAGTCTGAGAGAATTAGGATCCATCCCTCACTCGTCCATGCCAAACTCGTCAATTCTCCGGCGTTGAGTGCTGAGAGGCAGCTTGCAGCCGTAAATTACGCGAAGCGAACGAGCTTATTGCAAAAAGCCAGCCGCAGAGCTTAACATGCCCAATATATTGGTTTAATTGTGTGGGAAAGAGAAACACACTGTACTGTATATTATCTCCGGAGGAGAACGAGGTTTTGATCTTTAAAATCTAGCACATTGGGTGTGAGAAAGAGTAGAGCGGAGATTACTTGATAGCAGATGTGGGTTGTGTGTGTGGAGTGTGCGTGTGTGTGGTGTGAGAACAATGAAAGATAAATTAGTATTTAATCACATCCTCAATATGAATTTGACTATTTGATCAACCTGTTTTCTGCCTGAGCGCCCAATTGAAATGATGAATTCTATTTGTTTATTGCCTGCGGTCTGGTCAAAGGACGGAATAACTAACTCCTTAATGTGTTAGTAAAACCCAGATGGACTTCGAATGGAAAGACACGAGTAATACAAATGATATGGGTGATGTGTTGGTACTCTAGAGTCCGCTTGCTGCCCTTAGTCCCACAGGCCGCCCTCGTGCTTAATGCCGAGGGACGTAAAGAGAAGTAGAGAACGCCATACGCCACTGGGCCTTGCAGCATTACAATTAGGTGAGCGATCACCGAACCAACTGCGGGGACCTGTAAATTTCGATAAACAGGAGTGAAGAATGATCATTACAGAGGAAGTGTCAAGGTGACGTTCCGTCTTGACTCCTTATAGACTAGATGTTCAAGATTTTTTCTATTCCACACATCTACATTGTGGTTATTATGCCACTGATCTATAACCACTCTGAAGGAGACCTTTGTACGCTCATATCGAAGGATACATCATCTGGTTCCATGTCGATCATACACATCTGAGGTCTCTATAATAAACCATTTATCCCTGTCAGAATCATCAGCCTGTAGTTTTACCCAAACAAGAGGGTTTGTGTTTTGATATTCCTGTCTCTGTGTCCATCTGTTTTGCATGGCTCAGAGACTGTGGGTTGTGTGTATATCTCTTGGCCATATGTTTGCCAGGCCGTCAATTCAATGCAACCAAATTGCTGGCATAATCTGAACAAAAAAGAAGAGGGATGGGTGCATGGGTGGGTGTAGGCCAGTCAAGTAATACTTTAAGTAGCGGAGAGAGCAACGGCGTGGAGGTGTGTGTTGCGGAATGTAGGAAAATAAAGAGAAATATAACCCAAGGAAAATAAAGCTAGAGTAGTGGGTAGAAAGTTTAAGGAAGTGAGATCACTGAGCTGAGAATAGATGACATGTATGAACTACTGGCTAAAATAGAAGAAATCTGAATCATTTAAAGTCCCCCTCCACTTCAAAAAATATGGCTTTCCCTCAATTGTTACTTCACTTTAAGTTCTCCATGTATATCAGGCTGTTTTCAAAGTTCCATTCCGCTGACTGAGGAGAGGTTGCAAAACTTGCACATATGAGCCAATTCGTGCTAACATTGCACACTAGTTGGGAGGTAATCATGGCAAGATTACACAAGTGTGATCTGAAAAACTTGAAAACCAATGTGCACTTAACTGAGAGGAAAGTAGTAGAAAGACATGTTTCCGACATGGTTTTATACGTAGTAGTAGTAAGAGTTAATAAAACTATATAGTTATTATAATCATTCAACTTTTCCCATTTTTGATTAGTGGAAAACAAAAAATTGAACATGTTTTTCACATTAACTGGCCACAGCCAGAAGTCCATGTCGTCGTGTGTTGGCAGAACACCTCCCTGCACGAGCTCTAATTCCTGTATTGATTTCGTGTGTCGCAGTGTTTCAGAGGACCATGTAGTTCTGTTTAAGCACTACATAGAGAGACCAGTAGTTGTAATTGTGTTAGGTATTTATCTGCTTGCGTCTGTCCTGCTCCCCAATCCTGTCATATTCGCTAATTGGATTACTAGAAGTATTTTTCTCTTCTCCCTATGTCTTAAACGTCAGATGTGTTAGCATCACTGTTTGTGCGAAATAATAAGTCAGGGCAGCAAGTACCTGCAAATGCAAAGAGTGTAAAGTTGTTCGAGATAGTAACTTTGTTAACATGATTTCCTGGTGTTTAGGAAACTCATGGCGCAATCCTATGCTGAGTGGGAAGGAGTGTCCAGATGCCTATGAAGTTATAGAGCAAGAGAGAGAGCCTGTGTGTAGTGGTGGTGGTGGTGGTGTGTGTTGTGTGTGTTGAGTGTTTGTGATAGTGTGTGTGTGTGTGTGGTGTCGATGGTGTGGTGTGTGTGTGTGTGTGGTGTGGCTTGTGGTGTCGGTGTGTGTGTGTGTGTGGTGTGTGTGTTGGGTGTCGTCGTGTTGTGTGATGGTGTGCGTGTGCACACACACACACACACACACACACACACACACACACACACACACAGGCTCTCTCTCTTGCTCTATAACTTAATGGCACTGGACACTTTCCCACTCACATGGTTGCGCATGAGTTTCCTAACACCAGGAATCATGTTACAAAGTTACTATTCGAACAACTTACATTTTCATTTGCATGGTATTGCCTGACTTTATTATCCACAAAATGTGCTACACATACAGTTTAAAAAGAAAAGGGAGAGAGAAAAATACTCTAGTATCCAATTAGCGAATATGACAGGATTGGGGAGCAGGACAGACAGCAGATAAAGTACCTAACCACATTACTGGTCTCTCTATGAGCTTACAAACAGAACTACATGGCCTGAATGAAAATCAATACAGAATAGAGCTGTGCGCAGGAGGATGTTCTCACACACAGGACATGGACTTCTGGCTGGCCCAGTAATGAGAAAAACTGTTCCAATTTTTTGTTCTACAATAAAATGGAAAGTTGAATGATTATAATACTATATATTTTATACTACTTTATACTACTACTATAAAACCATGTGAAACAGCTTTCTACTACTTCTTAGTGTAAGTGCACATTGGTTTCAAGTTTTTCAGATCACACTTGTGTAACTTGCCATGATTGACCTCCCAACTAGTTGCAATGTTACAGAATTGGGCTCATATGTGCAAGTTTTGCAACTCTCCCTCATCAGCGGATGAATTTGAAAACAGCCTGATATACAGTGAGAAACTTCAAAGTGAAGTAACAATAGGGAAAGCATATTTTTGAGTGGAGGGGGACTTTAATGATTCAGATTTTCTTCATATTTTAGCCAGTAGTTCATACATGTTTCATCTATTTCTCACTCAGTGATCTCACTTCCTTAAACTTTCTACCCACACTCTAGTTTATCTTCCTTGGTTATATTTCTCTTATATTTTCCTATTCCGCAACCACACCCTCACCCGTTGCTCCTCTCTTAAGTATCTTGCTGCCCACACCCACCCTTGGCACCCTCCCTCTTCTTTTGTTGTTATGCCAGCAATTTGTTGAATTGACTTTGGGGCCTGGCAACTATGGCCAGAGAATACTACCACAACCCACAGTCTCTGAGCCATGCAACAGATGGAACAGAGACAGGAATACAAACAAACCTGTTGTTGTGTGCTGACAGAAATATAGAGACAGTGAGGAACATGGAACAAATGAGTCTCATATGCTACATGTGTTTCAGTATAGAATGAATACCACAAATGTGTGTGAAAAGAAACTGAAATCTATAAATCAACTAAGACATGACACTTTGAAACATCTACACGTTTTTGTGAAGATTTACAGTCCCGCTTGTGTATGTGTACCTGCTGGCCGGGGTCCTCTCTTTCTCCTGAAAGCAGCGCCGGACTGCAGCGCCTCCAACAGGCCATCCATGATACCAGTTTCATCATCCTCTGTAAACACACGAGCAAAACATAATATCAGCAATGCGTCAGCAAAAACTAGAGGAAATCAACATGTGGAGGCGGATTTAAACTTTTATTTATGTCTCACACACACACACACACACACACACGCACAGAACCCGCTTTTCACAACCATGTTATTTTAAATCAATACCCTTCCCCGAAATATACAGACATTTTCTTTCCCAACAACATTGCAGTAATTGGTGGTTTTGCAAAACCCTCCTCCTATTGCTGCTCCTCTCAGACACGCCGGGATACATGTGGGCAGGGGGGTTATTTACCAGCCACATGGCCACTTTGGCAAATTAGCTGTATTAACCCAGATAGGCAGTGACCTAGCTCAGCTACTGTCACTGCTAGGGGCTAAACACTGAACTTTCAGGGAGATAACCTCTACAACACAAACACACCCTTATTGGAAAGACACATCCACTGACACCAAACCTGCACATAAACTCATTAAATCAAAACACTGCAAAATGAGTAATTACAGTTTACAGTTAGAATGTATTGACTGGAAAGGACCCTTGTATCTGTGTTTGTGTACAGGCACAGTTTGTATGGGTGGTCTCATGGTGTGTTTGTTTACATCCACATTCTCTGCACAGTTTCAGTGGCTGGTGGCCTTAAATCACAGAAGGGGGCGTCAAACCAAAGGGGTGTGCTCCATGGCAATGCTGCTGTGTGTACATGTGTGTGAGTGTTGTCATGATTGTTTTGTGGGCAGGATTCAGTGGCACAGCTCAGCGCTCAGGCAGATGGTTTTAATTATTTCTATTGGAACCTGAAAAGAGAGGGGTCTGGAAAAGGGGGCAGTGGGGCTGGGGGTTAAAGGTTTATGTCGTCACCTCCCAACCCCCCCCCCCCAACACAAACACACATACGCACATAGCTCTACTCACACACACACACACACACACACACACACACACACACACACACACACACACACAAACACACACACACACACACACACACACACACACACACACACACACACACACACAATATTTAATCCTGCAGTAAGCCATGAAGCAGATGGCCAGTGGTCTCGCCTGTCACGTCAGAGAAAGTCTCTCTCATACACTCCCCAAGCCTTGCAAAGCTCACATACACCCCTCAATGTCCATGTCCTGGAACTGCACAGACAGTTCAAAAAGATGTAGGCCATGTTTTTCTCCTTCCGGGGAAACACATCTGGCACATTTCCACTTACACTAATCACATGGTTGGCTTAAACCACTGGTGGAAGCACAGAGACACACAAACCTATTTGTGAAAATGCACTAGAGGCAGTAGAGGGACCACACAACGACCTAGTGTGTATAAAACAGGCTTATTGTTGACCGAGTGAACTCCCAACTAAAACTAGACAGTCCTGGGGCCTGTGTACTCTGTAACATTGTACATACCGCTCATAGTGTTTCCATGTGAGTGTGGCCTTGGGCAACACTATTTTATGAAGCCATATACGAGTCTTCTTTCATCAAAGAAAAGTTTTACAATATTTGGTTTGTTAGCAATTAGTAACAGTGCTAATAATGGGGGAAAAACACACTTGTTGGGTTTAGTCCCTTAATGATAATCATGTGCTTTTGCCAATTCATGATTTTTCTATGGAATAGATTTATGGTTAATGGTTTATTATTGACAGTCTAAACAAAATCAATATTGAACTGGCCTCAAAACAGGGGTAAAGTCAGGCTCAGTACAACAATGCAGCACAAGCATGCATACAGCATACAAACAGGATGATATTGCCTGAAGCAACAAAGAACATAAGACGGATTAATTAGTGTAATAGCATTAGATCATGAGCTTTTGAAGATGTCTCTTTGGATCCGATCTACATTGGAATGTGCACACACACTGACACTTCCTGTCTGACATGCATATAGCGCCGCACGCACGCACGCACCACACACACACACCACACAACACACACACACACAACACACACACAACACACACACACACACACCACACAACAACACACACACACACAAGAGGACAGGACGCATCTTGGTTTGTTGGAGCAACAGCATCCCTAGTGGTTGTTCACACAATAAAAAATGAGGACACAAATGGAGAAATTCACATAGAGAGGTGGGATAACAAGCACTGGGGAAAAAAAACAGAGGAAAAAGTAAAGAGCAGGACAAAGATGGACAGTGTTCAAATGAGTTGAGGACAGATTTTCCATTTTCCTAATGTGTCATGATTGTGCCTCTCCTTCACAGTCGCCTGGAGTGAGACATCAGGCTACCCAAGCTTATCCCATCTGATCCCCTCTCTCACCCTGTGCCTTTCTCCTCTCTTCCTCTAACCTCCTTTTCCAAGAGACAACAACACAGTCTAATCCCCAAGACAGCATCTGCTGCCCTACTCCCCTCCTTCTCTTACCCTCCCCCACACTACTCCCTCACTTGCTCTTTGAGTGGAGCACGAGCACTCCTAGTGGCAGTTCCCATACCAGCAACTGTATGGGTGTGTAAACCAGACATGCACACACCCTTTGCCACATGCATAAAAACACAGCCTCACACAATCTTTTACAGACAGTACTGACACCTAGCTGTAGAAATAAGGAATAGTTGGTTTCCAAGCAGCTTTGGCATATGTCCAATGTACGACAAGCAGGGATGGATTTTTCATTAAAGAGTATGTATCAGGTCAAATTGGAGCAAAGTTCTTACTTAAACCACAGATGGTGAATGTGGACTTTTGGGTGTGCCAGTCTGGTATGCTGAATCTTGAACTTCCATGTTTTACAAGAGTCTAACAACGTGAATAAAAGCACTTAATTCTCAAAAGATGAGATAATAATAATCTACAAAGACTCAAAGAAGGATCAGTTATTCACAACAACTATCATCACATGCTGAGCACATGTGAGGCTCCTCTGAATGAGCGTCTGTCTGTCTGGCTTACAGAGGAATGACAAGGCCACAAACTGCAAACACACACTGACCTTCCAGGGTTTAACCAACAACTGGGATATTATGTTTACACATTCAGACAGTTCATGAGATAGTAAGGGTATGTGAGTAGAACAGTAGGTGATAGAAAGGAAAAAAGGGAACTGGGAAGACTGTCAGCGTGCGAAAGACTAGCTGCTGAAAACAACCATTGTGTAATAGCCATACAGTATGAGGGTTATAAACAAATGCAGAACAAAGACCAGGTGTGTGTATGCCGGATTTGTGTGTGGTTGAATTTAAATAGGGGGGAATTGAATGACTACAGGCAAGGGCAGTCAAATATGCCACCTGTATGTAAATGATCTCTAGCCCACTAATGCACATACACACACACATCTTTGAAGCACTATTATGTTCTGTTCATGCATGCCTCTAGAGACTGAACATGAAACCTGACTACTAGCTTTCTACCACAAAATGTCTACTCCATACTTTTAACACCGAGACACAATATTCCAAGCAAAGTGCTGTTTCTTTAAGTGCCCTTTAAATGAACGACAGACACAGGGGGAGGGAAAGGAAAAAAAGAAGAGGGAGTGATGGAAGAAAAGTAAGGAGAGGAGAGCAGAAGCCAGCTGGAACATGGGGCACTAGGAGAAAGGCCAGAAACAGAAAGAGTTTTTCTAAAAGAGGTTCGCAAAACAGACGCGGACACACACTCACACACACAGACACACTTTGGCCAACACAATGTTTCTCTAACACAAAAGCAAAGCAAAACAGACACATTCACAAGAAAGAGACAGTAATTTTGTCACACACATACACACACAAATACACAGAGTGCACTGGGGCTGTTGCAAATTTTGACTGTGGAGTCCCAGGAGAACCCGACTGGAGCCAAAGAGAGGAGGAATGTATTAAAACTAGGTCACAGTCTCAGAGAGGGGGAAAAAAGTGCCTGAGCATAAATGTGTGTCTACAAGGCAGGATTTGGGTTTTAACTCTGTGTATACGGGGATGAGAATGTTTGAATTTCTGTGTGTTACATAGGACAATATAGTGCTAGCATTTTTCAGAGTAAAACAGCATCTCATAGAGGGGATGAAACATGTTTTTGGTGATAAAGAGATTTAGGCTTCCTTTGAGTTCTCTTTTATAGAAGCAAATCCCCTTTTCACCAGAGGAGTGAAAAGAGGTCAAAGAGTTCCTTGTATACATCCTCCTTACCCTCACTTTCTGTGGCGCTTTGTTGTTACTTGCTTACTTCAAAACACGGGTCATCAACATTAGATTAACTCTGGTCTGCAAATACTGATGGTTTGCTCTTTCACACACACACATACACAAAGACACACACACAAATATTCCACAGAACTGTGGACTCTGACTGCCCCCAACTGGAATCTGAGGGAAATACAAAGTGAAAGATGTGGAGTGTGTTCCTCTCTCTTTCAGTCACATGCAGGTAAAGAGATATGATCCAGCAATTGTGACCTGCGTTGATGTCAAGGAGCTGGTTCCTCTTGAGTTTCTCCTCCTTCTCCTTCTCTGCTTTTTCCCTCGCCAGCTTGGCCCTCTTGATCTTCTCTTCAGCCTCCTTCCTCTTCTGATTCTCCTTCACTGCTTGCTGGTGAGGCGAGTAAGAGAGAAGGAGAAAACATCAGATGGTGTGGGGGCAAATATAGTGTTAGTGTGGATAACTAATATTAAGTTGACAGTGACTCTTTGAACACAAATTCAAAAAGACAGATGTAAGACGGATCTGTTGGATTTCTTTGTATGTAAACAAAACCTCAAAACCAGTGCATGGCGGTTATCAACGATAACTGGTAAAACAAGTTACTTCCTGCAGGAACCCTCCCAAATGGCACATTTAAACCTGATGTATAAACTCATAATATAATGCAGTCTCTCTCTCTCTCTCTCATTATTATTATGTCAATACTAATAGGTGCACACACTCCAGTTTTTTCTCATCCTGGTTTGACATTTGTCTTTCATCTTTCATCTACCAATTTTTTTCTAACTCCTGTGTATGTCTTTGTGCTGTATGCGTAACATTGTTTTTTGAGGGTGGTCAGGAAAGACTGAAAACCACACCACTCCTCTTTTTGAATAATATCAGACATGAGTTTGTTCATTCACAGGCATAAACAGTCACACACCTGAAACATGTTTTTAAAGGTGTTGAGGTCCCCGAAGAATTCCTCTACAGACATTTTTTTCGGGTCAAAGACAAAACAGTCTCCAAGGTCAGTATATTGTTTCTCCATATTCTTATGCATAAGATCCAGCTTCTCATACTGCTCATGGGCACTGATCACAAAACTGTGGAGACTTGGTGTTAAGGAACATAGAAACAAAATCTCTATGAATTGAATCTTTATACAAACACACTCTTTCCAGTAACTGCTGAGCAATTGTATTAAATAGGTAACTGAATAAGAGGATATGGACATCTTCTCTGCAAACAGGTCCTTGTCATTTTGTGGAGGAGGGAAGGTTTCCAGATCCTTCTCAAGGTTCTTGATCTGACGGCCCATCAGCTCTAGGTTCTTCTGAATTGTCTCTGCAGAAACTGCGGGGGGCATGAGGGAAACATTGATGATATTGAGCACCTTCATACCTTGCATCCACCCGCATACATAACTTATACATACATAACTTAGCATATGTGCTTTTTTTCATATGACTAAAAGTGTTGCTGTGAATAAGGGAAGGGCATATCGGTATGCAACGCCACCAGCTGACCCAGCGGGAGCATGTTGTATCAACAAGAGTGTAAAGAGTGATCATAAGGTGTGATGCTCTGTTGGGAAAGAGATGTATATAGGTCAGTTAGACGTCCCGTGTACCTCTGCTGGCCTTTTCCACATGGATGAGCTCATCTGGAAAGCTCATAATCTCAGGATACTGCTCCTGGCACACATCAGCCAGGAAATGAAGCAGTGTCTGCTTCAGATCAGCTGATTTGGTGTCACGCAGCTGATTGGAAGAAGAACTGATTAAAAAAGGGTAGACTGAAAAGGTAATCATTCGCAAGTTATTCAATGTCTGCATGTGATGTTAGTGTTTCACACTTTTCTGTTTACAGCTTAGTGGAAATGGATGTGTGAGTAAGATTGTAGGTTTCCAAAATTACAGCATTTATGCACTTTTGTCTGTGTGTCCATATTGCCTATTCTACAATACAGAATAAGATGAAAGATTAGAATTAATACATTATAGATATCACTGCTGTTGCACTAACTTTGTGTAGTATTAACTGTATTGATGAACAAATTGTGGGAGCATCAGTACGTGTGTACATCTGTGTTACATATACACTACATACAGAACCTAAAGCTAATATTGAACAGGCATAGGGGAAAACCTTGCATGCTATTGTCTATACACACATTTTTCTGTAGACCTCCTCTTGTCAATCAACTATCATGGAATAACATGGCATGGGAACAGATTCTGTTTTTGTTGAATATGAAAATCAGATACAAATTATTGAAAAGGTGAAAGCTTTACTCTTTTGGGGACCATTTCACATTATGTATTGTATGTCAGCATATCCACACTTGACCTCCAAGAAGTACTCAGCATGTAATACTAAATGCTGTTCTAGCGAAATCATTCTGTTTGTTTGTGTATGCATGTAGTATGTCTACGCCTAATACTATACCTTGCACAGGTATGATAGGGAGAAGCCGAATGCTTTTCCATTGCGAGAACCAGAGTTCATGTAGTTCCCGACAAGAAGGATGATCTGCAGCAGCTTGGAGAAGGTCTGGCTTTGCCTGAGCTCCTCACAGGCTGCTGTCACAGAAACCACATCTGGCTTAATGTTGTTAAGCTGCTCCTCAAACTGCAGCTTGAACAGGATGGCCTGGAGCCGTGGCATCAGTCGCTTCACGCTGGACATCTGGAGAGAGAAAAGAGGGTGAGGGATTTGACATCCATTCCTGGTATGGTTGTTGCCACATAGATTGTGTGTGTGTCAGTGAGTGTGTGTGAGTGAAGGGGATTTCATCCATTACTCACATCTTCCACAGTTGAACAAAGGAGTCTTTGTTTAACAGCATGAGGATTTTCTACGTCTAATATCTTGACAATTGTATAACTCTATCTTACCATTTCAACATTTTCTATGCCTCATTAGCCATCACACTGATTTCCCTGCTATGTTTGTGGTTAAGTCATGTCCAAGTCAGCAGGGAATGAAAACTATATCTATTAAAAAAACAACAAATAAAGAAGAATTGTCCGTCTGTTTGTGTGTGTTTTTTTTTCATTTTGTGTGTGTCACTTCTCACCACTACTCCAAACTGTTCGGACTCAGCCAAGTCATCATATTCATCCTTCATCTCTCCCAGGACACTCAGTTGCTCTGGTGCTGGCAGTTGTTTGACCAGGTTCTAAAAGAGAGAATATACATGGCTAACAGGATATAGAGACACTTATGTTTGTGCCACTTATATGTGTCACAAACTACTCCTTGAACAAGACACTGGTCTACACAAAATACAAAGACAGACAGATTGACCCTTGAAAGAAAACTTCTCTTGGTTACTGAGCAGCAACCTTGAAGTTGGCAGAGATTCAATGTCTTGCTGAAGGACACATGAAAAGGCAGGAGTATACTTGTTGGGCACTTAGCTCCCTGTAAATTGGTAGGAGTATTTGGCTGCTACAGGGCTCCAGTCAGACAGCACAGAATAAACAGTGGATATAAGACGTTTACTTATCAACTTTTAGAGTGTTGGTTATATACATTACATAGTGGTATAGTATTTTGAACAAACACAAATAAACAAATACATCAATAAACGACTGTGTACTTTGGAATATTAACAACCAATATAACTAAATGCATTCAAAGGGCGTAGAAGTGAAATTATATCTCCTCCCTTATACAACGGTAATCAATTACCTATCTCCATTACGGCTACATTAGCACCAAGCAATTAAATCCTGTTATCTATATACACACAATGATATGTTGAGCTACCTGCAATAGCCACTTTGCTAAACTCCACAGCAATGCTAGCCCATGAGCCGGTTAATTATAATGTTGAAATAAATTTTCTGTGCATTAACAATGATAACATAGCATCAACTACATAATGTAATGAAAGAAATACAATGGGACAAGCTAATTATTTCTGCTGCTTTGGTGATGAAGCAGAATGGAAAAAAAACTATGTTAAGTGCCACTCTCTCATAACCACAATAACATCCCTGAACCTTGACGATTCTCAACAATACTATAAGCTCAATACACTGTCCTCCTTCTCATTATTTTCACATTTTATTCCACAAATAAATATATATAAATAAAACTGATCTACTCTTTAAGGCAACATGGAGAAATATCATGAGGAAACCTTGTGTACAGACACCAAGGCAGATCTGAGCTCAGTACCTGAGCCATGGATTCCGTTAGGATCTTCTCATTGACCTCCAGGATGGCATTCTTGATCTCTTCATAAGGGAGACGGAATGATCCCAGGAAAATTGCTGCATGAGCAAACACAATTGACAGCACTTAGTAACTTAGTAAGTCCAATTGGGATTCAGTTGGACATGCTTTATTGCTGACATTTCAATTAAGGAGATCACTAAATGCACTTGAAGAGCCAAGCCATTGGTATGGGGGTATCAAGGTTTCAAACATGTGAACTTCTGCCAGTGGACTTACACAGGTTCTGTGAAGCCTTGGAGTCAAGAATCTTCAGCTCCTTCACCTTCTTCTTCTGCGGCTGCTTCTTGTCATCTCCTCCATCCTGCTCTTTTTTGGCTGGAGAGGTAGACAAAGAAATTGGGAGGGGGATGGTAATATACAGAGAAGAACAGAAGAAAGAGGAGACTTTGTTAGAGATCACACTTCTTGGTAACTTTCTTAATGCAAGATGACTAGTACTGCTGGATATGAATAGAAATAATGTTGGAAAGAAGGCCAGTAGTGAAATCAGTGGGTTCTGTAAAACAGAAGTGGATTAGAGGGGAAGACAGAGGGCCTATATGATGGCTATAAAAACCGACAGACTTGCCATGGCCTTCACTTTTTTCACTCTCTCCTAACTGTATGGTGTCATGGAGGTGTTAGGTTTATTGTATCAGTGACCTGGGGTAAGACTGAACTACTATGAAATGGCTATAACACTGGGGGAAAGATGTCCCTGGTGCGTGTAGGTCTGGTAAATATGATCAGACATTTGTTAGCTGAAGGCATTTAAAGTTTGCTGTCAGCTTACACACATGTATATATGCGTATACAGTACATTCTATTGCACGCACGCACACACGCACACACACACACACACACACACACACACACACACACACACACACACACACATTGACAGAAAAACTTCACATTAACTTGTTCTGACAAGGTCAGGATTGTGACTGTAAGGATGTGTCAGTGTGTGGGGGTGAATGTGCACTAGATGAGAATTGGGAGTGAAAGATGAACAAGCACATGGGTTTGACCACATAACAGCCCACTGTACAGAGGCACATCAGACCTAAGGTCAGCTGAGAACTGGATGTCACAGTTGCTCACTTGCTTTAGCCAATATTATCCAATCACTCTTACTCAATTTAACATCCATCTGAAAATGAAGCACAAATAATGTATGTCATGCTTAGCGCTAAAATCATTAGTAGATCAACAATGACATCAGCAACAACAACAAAATTAACCATTTAGTCATTTACAAGGTATGTATACCAAACATTTTCTGGTTATAGCTTGTGAAATGTGAGGAGTTTCTTTTGTTTCTATTATAAATGAAATGCCTTTTCAGGTGTGGATCAGACAAAGTAATTTTGAGAGACTGGGGTAAAGCCCTAGGAGTATGTCTCAGTCTAAAAACCACAGCTATAGCTGTCCACAAAGTTTTAAAAATCCTACAGGAAACAAACCATTTCTCATCCCTTGTACAAAAAGTACAATAAACACTGGAGCATGTTCATCTCTCCTGCATACCTCTGTTCCTCTTTCTCTTTAGGTTTTTCTTAATCTCTATGCAAGACTTTTTCTTTGCTTGTCTCTCTGGGCCTGTGTTATCTTTGTAAAAACCAGACAGGAACTGGACACAAGAATTACTGTCTGGAAAAAAGCCAGCAACAATGCTGGTACAGCATATAAAGTATGAGTATGCGGTGTCTCTTTGTCACTTTCTGTCTGAAACACACAGACAAACAATATGAATCAAAATAGGCCCCGTCGTGCTGAGCGGCCCACCTGTTTCCACTGCCTTCCACTGACCTCATGTAATGACATCAGACACTACAATTAAGTGGCTATATGACCTGAAACTGCTGTTACCACTACAAAATAATGACAACAGACTTACTTTAACTTTCTACACATTAGTATTACTAATGTCTGCTGTCCATCCTTACTGTCCACGAGATTCACCCCCAGCTCTTTGTATTTTTGGCTTTTTTTTAATTTTTTTTATTTGTCAGTCATTCAACCATCTTTTCCCACAATCCATCCACACTCAACTGCAGTTTGTTAGATTAGTGCGAAATAGTCTCATACAAACAGCAACACTAAGTATTCTCCAAGCAGTCACAGAGACAGCCACTGCAGCATAACATCTCATTCATCCATCTGTCCATCCTTCCATATGTCCAGTCAAACAGTGTTGTGTCTTGATGTGAGAGGCCAATCAGTCTGACAGTGTGTTCTCTCCAGTCTAGGCCTCTTAATGAGCTCCTCATCTCTCCATTTAGCCGTTCATTTAGAACACACACGTACACACAAAACGGTCAGTCAGTGGACTGTGGCCTCAATAAGTCCCATTGTTTCACTCAGTGTCAGCCTCAGCTTTATGAAACTCCCCTCTCAGAATCAACCATCACTTGTGTCTAAAGTCTGACTTAAATTTAACTACAGGTTGACTCAAACTTTAGAGAAAACTGACCTGTTTGAACTCTGTACTTCTACCGTTTGCATATAATTTCTGTTATATCAGTGTAATCAGCCATGTGTATCACTACCATGAATCAATAATCCTATTGTGTGCTCAACGCTCCAGCCATAGTCCCTGCTGAGAGCAGGAAACCATAGCAGGAAGTCAACCATTACACACACACAGGATAGGAAACTCCATCAGGACATCTGAGAGGAAACAACATAAATATCTTCGCACAAACACATAAACACAGCTGAAAGGTTAGGAAAAAGACTCAAAGGAAGTGACTTGCATCCACAAATAAACATCTCAAGACAGAGACACAAACAGGGAGACTGATAATGACATAAAATAATTCACTTCTTGAAGATAGTGTCATCTAGATAATGAGGGAACCTCTAATATCTCTAAAGATAATAGTGAAAGAAATAAATACATCTAAGAGTAACTATAGTAATATCAGTAAGAGCTTAAACCCCTTAACACCCTGGATACACAAACAGATACGCACATGGAGACTTGTACAATGACAGATACTTGCTACAGTGCAGATGAATACTTTATCTGGATAGTATATAATCTGAAGAAATGACAATCCAGTAAGACTGGGACTTAGTGACCTAGTGCCGGCATCATGTCACTAGGTCAGTGTGAGTGCGTGTGTGTACCTCAGAGAGATGGAGAACTGGTGAGGGAGCATGTGTGTTTGTGTGTGTACATCCGTCCTATAATAGCTACAGAGCCAGCTGCGCTCCAGCCAATGGGATCAGGCTTAGCTATGTTGACATCATGGCTGATTCATAAAATGGGGTCTGGTGTTCAGATTGTAAAATGGCTGCTCCGTGGTTTCCACATGCACAGCCAGCTTATTTCATTTATGAGCCAATGGCACCTCTAGTGGTGGCCATGGCGCATTGCACCATGTTAAACTTAGTCATTGCTGGGGAGGAGAGGAGATGACAGAGGCAGAACACACATGTGAATAGACACACACCGACACACACACACACACACAAATAATACTCAAGCACATACGAACACACTTGTGGAGTGCTGACATCTTAACATCCACATGTTTTATTGTCCCAGCTGCCTTTTTATACCATCGCACAAAGAAGGATCCTTTTCTGGGAACAAATCCCTACCACCCATAACACACACACACACACACACACACACACACACACACACACACACACACACACACACACACACACACACACATCTTTTCCTGGAACACCTCCCCCTCATCTCCCCAACAGCTGCCTGGCACTGAGAGATGATAAAAAAAAAGGGGGGGCTGTGTCTGTGTGTGCCTTTACACGCAAACATACGTATGTGTGTGATGAAAGAAAAACGAAATTCTTCCATTTCTGACTTCTGTTTCTAATTAAGAGGAGGAGGGGAAAAAAAGGGAAGTGAAAGAGAAAAAAAAGGAGAGAGATGGAGGGGGAGAGGAGGCGAAGGAGGGGTACACAGAATCATGAGGAGCCAAGTCATGCAGAGGTCTCTGTCAATATGTAACTAAGTGTATGTGTGGGTGTGTGTGTGTCTGTCTGCACAAAGAGGAGTCTGTTTATCAGTCAGCAGACCTGAGTGTATCCTTCACCCCCCTCCCTCACTCCTACTCCCTTCCTCTCTTGTTCCCTCAGTCCTTAAAAGGAGAAAATGTGTGGTGGGGAAGGTGATGCGTAGCCAGGCTTGGAGAAAGAATAGAAAAAAGAAAAAGACAGATGGAAAGAAATAAAGAAGAACATGATAGTTAGGAACACAAAGGCAGAGACAAACAAATAGAGGAAAAAATGTATGGTACATGTTCATCCCTGACTCTAAACTATGGCCTCAACTCAAAAAATAGTTTCAGTCCTCTCTCAGAGGGCACATCCTCTTCTCTTTTCTATCGCTTTTTTACTCTTTTCATGCGGTCTATTCATCCTGTCATCACCACTCCCTGCTTGTGGAACGCTAGTTTATTTTTAACCCACTAAAAGCTTTCAGATGATGAACTCTATTGTATATCTGTGGCGCCAAGAGTGCTTTTCATGGGCCCTCTGGTGGCAAGATAGGAGAAAAACATAATATTAACTTTATATAACTTCAAACTAACTTTTTTTCCATTCAGCATTCCAGGGCTGGAGATTGTCTAAACTGGAACAGAGGAGAGGGTTTATAGTTTCAACATCAATATCTGTGGGGTGAGCAGTTCTTTGGAAAAAGTTTCTAAGGTTGCTCAAGAGAGAGAACCACACAGAGACACAAACAAATCTTGTGCCAACTTTTAACATCAACAAAGACTAAACACATTTCAGGGAAACTTAATAAGAATTTTTCTTATGTTTTTGGTGTTAGAAAGTTTACTTTAAGAAAGCTAAAGTATTGCTACTAAAAAGGGAATGAGACAAAGAGGAAAAAGAAAGGGAGGGGGGCATAAAGTTCTTTGTCTAAAGTAAACAGAAGGCCAAAACTGTGTCAGACAGAAGGACAGCTGTAGCCTTGGTCCCTTTAAACTTTAAATGTCCAACATTCTGTCACTCTCAAAATGAGAATGTGTGTGTGTGTGTGTTACAATGTAAGTGTGTTTGACAGAAGAAGAATAAGGGGGTTTCCACGGTAACCTCGGGTCTGAAAGAGCCCCTTCATCCTGTTTTTCACTATGAAAGGAAACGAGGAGAAAAGATTCCTGACTGTGTGTATGTGTGTGTGTGTTTTGTGTGTGTGTGTGTGTGTGATTGTGTGAAAAGGACCAGATGGCAGGGTGGGGCAGTGAGGAGGGGGGACGGGGGCAGGATGTGGGAGGGCCAGGATGCAGGGGGAGGGCGTATGGGCGGGGCTAAAATGTGCTCCCTTGCGCTCCCCTGGTGTATGAATAGTGTAACTGCAGCTGAAATTATCTGAATTGATCAAGTTAGATATTATTACACTACATTCGCTTTAGAAGCACAAAAAAAGAAAATAAAAAAATACCCACAGCCAATATTTAAACCTAAAATATTGAGAAAATCTGAATAATTAAACTTTACTGTCATTTAACAGATTTAAGACTTTAGAGCACCATGCCCCTCAATTTTTGTTTTTCATTAGAAGTTTCAAAAATATATTTTTTTTCAATTTATTGCCTGTTGGGATACATTTGAACCACTGTTCAAAACATAATTTTCTCATGCAATGGTCTTACATGACAGACAATTACAAATATAATGACCTTTGTACATTACCTTAAATTTAAAATGAACAGCAAATAAATCTGGGTCTTTGTCACAAATGTTGGCAACACGGCATCTTGCATCATCCAGGCCCAATCAGACAATTCTAATAAATCAATTAAAGGTATATTTGAGAATTTGGCTTATTAAGTATTAATCCATGTATTAAATGACCGGACAGTTAATTTCAGAGTGAGAGGATACTGCAAACTGGTATAAAGTATACAGAAGTTGTCTGTCATCCCAATATGACCAAAATAATAAAATGTCAGAACACCAGAAGAACTCTATATTAAAAAGCACTGTAGTGTACTGTAGTCTAGACAGTAAATGGATTTTTATTGAAATGTATTGGCTACAGGAGACACAAAGTGTGGGTGCTTCAGTGAGGGTTACTGTTTATGCATGGAGTCACAGTGCCCTCCACTGGTGGAAGCGGTGTACTGCTGCTAGATGGTGTAAGGCTGGCAGATCCCTACACCTGGATACACAGTTTATTACCTTCACACCCCATCTCATTCACCATTCAAGTTGTGTGTGAGTGTGTACATGAGAGAGAGAGAGAGAGAGAGAGAGAGAGAGAGAGAGAGAGAGAGAGAGAAAATAGTGAATAAAAGCTGAAATCAAGAATATACTGCTTGTGAGTGTGTGTATGTGACAGTTTAGGGGGTACAAAAGGGGGACACAGAGCCGCAAAAGTGTGCAGAAGTGTTTGAAGGGGAATCAAGGGACAGAGGTTTGGAAACAGTGGGTCTGTGTGTGTGAGTGTTGTTCTCTCAGGGCCATTCTGACCTCCCTCTGCTCTTCTGGCCATGAAGGTCTTCAGCAATGACGCACACACAGCACGTACCGGCATCACTGATGAGACACACACACACACACGGAGTATGCTGCCTGCATTGCTGATAAGGTGCACTACAGTCGACACACCGACACAGCACTACCTTGAACTCGAATTCGCACTTGCTGAAACCACACAAACAGCCCATAAATCCCCATAGCAAATAACAGAGGACACAGACAGACCTCCACACACACACACACACACACACACACACACACACACACACACACACACACACACTCTCAGAGAGAGGTGAGCTGCTATGGTGTGCTTATTAAATCAGTCCTATATCAGCCAGTCTCCTTGGGACAGCAGTAAAGATTTACTACAGCAATTACACTGGCTAATTACAAGGAGGAGAGACAGAGGGAGTGAGGGAGAGCTGGAGAGTGTAAAGGAGAGAAGGAAATCAAATCAAAAGTAGCAAGAGCAAATAAAGGCGCAAAAACTGAGCCAATAAGAGAGCAAATAAAAGGGAGAGAGATAGAGAGAAGTTAGTTTAAAGGACAAAGACGACGAGGATGTGACCTTGAGACAGACACAACACCTGAGCCTTAAATGATGTACATGGAGACAACACAAAAACAAAAAGGTTCAGTGCTGAACTCACAAACTAGCTGTGTGTGTGTGTCTGTGGGTGTGTGTGTGTGTGAGTGTGACTGACTAACTGAGTCACTCACTGAGTATGTAAGTAGTTTTCCTGTGGTACTCTGGTAGTCTGTGTGGTGCTTTGGTGTTTGTTATTCACAGTGTGAATGTCCTTGACGCTGCACTGGCCTTCACAGCACAATGCTCCCTCTACGGGGAGGAGAGTGAATTACATCATTAAGCAGGTTTGCTCACTGTTATGAGTGGTATCAATCAACTTTGATCCTTGTTCCTTTGCTGTAAAAGGCATGCGGTGACATTTGCAGCCAATTAACATACTTCATGTAAGTCTTCTTACAGATCTGTGAAGGTCTGACAACCTGAAGGTCTTATATTGAATATATTGAATATAACCTATAAGAGTGGCAATTAACAGCCGCTAATAACTTCATACTTAACTGATCCCCTTAAGGGAATACACTTTTCACTTCCACCTTACCTTTAATAAACAGTGGGAGTTCAAATTTTAATACAAGTTGTGGAGTTAGTATGGATTCAAGGTCTTGCTCATGGACTTCATCTTGTCAGATGTTTGGACTCAGGTCATGCAGTTGAATGTTAGTGTCTCTCTATACAATGCCAGCTGCCTGCCAAATGCACTGACTTTTCCCTGCAAGTCAAGTCTGCTGTCCATCCTGACCCCTTCTATGACGTGTGCACAACCATGCAAAAAGTCTCATTTACATGAGCCCAGAGGTAGAAATGAAAACTTATAAATTGGGTTTCTATCTCAATTAAAAAGTTAGATGAACTGTAACACACATGCACCCCATGAGGCACATTTTGCCCTGGGCAAAAAGGATTAGGTGAAGCTCTTCTGTCAGCCCTCAAATATTCATTATTACCTTATAGAAAGATAGCAGACAGAGAGCGAGTGGACGCAAGAAGGAGCAAGAAAAAGAGAGAGTGCAAAAAGAGAGCATGAGTAAGAAATAGAGAGGCACTTTATGAATACAAGCAGTTCTGACTTATGCAAAGCAACATAGATGAAAGGAGGACTGAGAAAAATGGAGGTCTACACGGTGTCATGCCATGGAGGACAGTTAAAAGCTAGTCGCGGGGCTGGAGCACACACTCATCCTCTGTTAATCCCTGAGCTTCTGTCCTCTCGTCTCCAACCATCCATCCCTTCACTCGTCTTTATCTCTGCTTCAGTGATGAGTACAAAGGAAAGCACTCACTCATTTGCCGCACCCCCCCACCCCCACCCCCC